ACAGACAGAGCTATTGGATCATTTTTCATTAAATCTTTCACTTAAAAGATTAAACACTATTGTAAAGTTCATTGACTCGCATCTCGATGCAATTTATAAAGACTCGCATCTCGATGCAATTTATAAAGATTTTCCACCGGAAAATCTCGTGATTGTTTGCTCGCGTAAAAGTAAACTTTATTCAATTATCCGGGCAAGAAACGTTTCTCTCTCCCCTTGGAATTAGATCCAATCGAGAGCGCGAACAGATAAATAGGCTATTTCAATAAATGCGCATGCATGCGAGCCTCGATTGTTGGCGAGGAAAAGCGGAGCATCAGACTCTGCGGAAATAAATTGACAAATAAAAAATCGTTATTACGTGAATGAATTACGTGAAAAAAATCGGAAACAAAGGAGCCATTTAGAATTTAACTTTTATTTTGGTATACGTGGATTAACGTACGAAAATACACTAAGCTTATAAAAAATACGAACATTACACTGAAAGAAAAGATTGGCTGAATATGGCATAGCACTTTTAATTGGTTGCAGCAGCCAATTAAAAATGCTACGCCATATTTTACCATCTAATTTGCAGTAGCAGCTAATCTTTTTTTGTTTCCGTGTATAAACTAAAATAAATGAATAATGATATCATAAGAATGAGGACGTTACGGTTCAATATTTCGCTTTCAAGTCAGATTTATATGTCCACGTTTGTCTCAACTATCTTATCGCTATTTAAGTTCTCAGGATAACTTCATGACTGATGTTTGCACTTCAGAAATTTTTCGATACCAGATAACGAACTTCCGTTCGTCCTCCCCTCCCGTTCCAGTCATTTTTGATGGCAACGACACGCAGCGATGCATGTACGCGCGCCGGTTCTCGCAGTCTAATATGCATGTATGTGATTTGCACGCATCCGCGCGCTCCATCACACACGCGTCGCGCACGCATTTGGGATCCGCTGGTCAATTTACGGCAATTACCAAGCTGTTGCGACCGGTTAAAGTCACTTAGTGCTTGCGTAGATACGTGCACACGACGAATCATCCGCGACGAATCTCGCCGGCGGCAACGCAACGAATCCGGCGACCGCCGAAAGGAGACACAGAAAATTCGCGTAAAATCGCGTACACGTGCTCGTCTCGCACGTGCGAATCAGTGGAGTCTCGAAGATTTCCTCGCCTCGTCGGAAATAAAAATCAGATATATGGATAAAAGTGAATGTAAGGGATTGCTTTCGGTGCGACGCAGCTTCGGAGGTTCTCTTGTAATTTGAATATTTTAATAAGATTAGAAAGAGCGAGAGAGAAGAACGTGTGTGATGTAAGTAATTTAATTTGAGAATAATATGAATTCCTTATGTTAAACATATTTATTTAATTAGCATACGAAAAGCGCGAGCATAATTTCATACTTTAAGAGTCGTGTGAAGTTCTTCAATTTTCTGGTTATATAACTTTATATTTAGAGATTCCCTTGAGGAATTTAAAATTAGAAGATGGTAGGCGGATATGCTTCTTTCTATTATCTACACTGAAAAAACTATTAAACTTTAATAAATATTTGCTTGAGTAATTCTAAGTAAACATTTACTAAATGTAAACATATATTTATTTGATACAAGAATCATTAATTTGTTATAGCTATAATTTTTTATCGAGTAAATATTTATTTCTTGTAAGTAAATGTGTTTCCTTACTATTCTAAAGAAATACATATGTATTAAGATTTAGTAAATTTTTTTCAGTATACTTCATTTCTCATCTCAGCTCTATTAAGCACAAATATTAACCGATAAAATGCACATATATAATTTTATTACATTTGATTGCGTAAAGTAATGTGAAATATAATTATAGCTGTTGTACATCGTCAGAAAAAAAATCGTTCGCTCAAGCTGAAAATATTCGAAGCTTGCGATGGCCGAAAGTTAAATCGTGTACGATATTAGACACATTGTGCGTTTGTGTGTTAGCTTAGATATATGTGTGTGTGTGTGTGTGTGTGTGTGTGTGTGTGTGTGTGTGTGTGTGTGTGTGTG